AATTTCGATTGACAAGTTAGTAAGAATTCTCGACACAGCAATTACAGGACTTGAACAGTGGAACTTTGTACCTGAACAAGAAATTATGTCTTTTTATATAATTAAAGAGAAAGCATTAGCACACAAAATGAAGTAACTTAACTAACTTACATTGAAAGAAATGTTTAATAAAGTAAACAAATAAATACTAAGCTTTTTTTTTTTTTTTTTTTGTAAATTTTGATACCCTTTAGATCATAATTGCTCTTTATTTCATAAATTACGGTTTCATATTTTTGATTGTATAATTTCTGCATGCCATCTTACCAGATTTAAATTGTTTATCTTTAATCCAGAAAACCCCTAATCGGGAATCGCCAAAGTCCCAACGAGTCAATTACAGACTTTGTACTGTATATATATGCTGAATGATCTAAAATTCACTTAGTTCGAAAACAAGTTTTTCTAATACTTGCACAATAGCTGCAAAGTAAGATAACAGTAATTTATTTACTAAAGAAATATTGATAATATTATCTCTTAATACAGTCAAAAGTCGTTAATCCGGACTCGTCGGGACTTCGGCGATTCCGGATTATAGATTATCAGTTTAAATCTGGTAAGATGGCATGCAGAAATTATAAAATTAAAAATATGAAAGTTAATTTATGAAATAAAGAACAATTATGATCTAAAGGGTATCAAAATTTACAAAAAGAAAAAGCTTAATATTTATTTGTTTACTTTATTCAACATTTCTTTCAATGTAAGATGTTTAAGTTGCTTCCTTTCATGTGATAATACTTTCTCTTTAATTCTATTAAACAGACATAATTTCTTGTTTAGTTACAAAGTTCCGCTGTTCAAGTCCTATAATTGCAGTGTCGAGAATACCGACTAATTTGTCAATCGAAATTTTTTCGTTTTCAATAACCTCTGTGTCACTTTCTTCACTATCGGAAGCGAATTATGACGAGGAACTTGATTTAAATCATATCAAAGACAGAGTACATCGAGATGAAATACTACATTTACTAAGGAATTATTAGCCAAATAAAATAAAAATATCTACTCTGAAGATAAGGATAGTGCTGACAGATCAACTTCCAATTCATTGCGCGCCGTGGCATTCCACCCCTCCGGCCGCCGCAGAGCAGCGTGAAATTGATAAACAGATTTCGGAATGGTTAGAAAAACAAAGGATATGCCTTTATCTATTTTTTGCAGCAATTCCACTTTTTGTTTAATGGACTTCGAAACATACTTTCGCTTTGTAGATCCTTTCCATATTAGTAAATATATATCGGAAATTCTATTTGACATAATCGAAAAGTTCAAGCTTACTTTTATAAAATTGCTTTAACAGTCTGCAAAAAATAATAAGCCGGATCCAATTCGAAGATTAAGGAACAATGCAATCGGCAACATTAACTGAATTAGATAATTTTAGCTTAGCTTATACTGTCCATTATACATTAAACGCGCATGCGTAAACGTATTATGCGCATGCGTACAAACATATTCGCAGCCGTAAAGGTCTTACGTGCATGCGTAAACACCTATGCGCAGAAAGTTTGTAGCTTTGAGGTCTGGATTATAGATCATTCCGGATTATGGGTGTCCGAATTAACGACTTTTGACTGTATAAATTTAGTAAAGTATCAAAAAAAGAGGGAACCCATATGTAGAAAGTTTAATTCCGAAAATTGTGCTTTAAAGTAACTTGGATGTAAATTATGAAAAAGACGTTTTACGGAGACTTGAATTTAAATCATGAAAAACAAAATTTCAATCTTTAAAAAAGAAATTAATAATTAAAAACAAGTAATTATCACTATTGATTGGAAATTAGTTGACTTTTCAAGGGAAACAAACCAATTCCCATTCAATGAACAATAATTAATAAATGCGAAGGTGTTTCGTCTTTTACTCAAGTAAGAATGATGATGCCAAACTGGCAAATTAAGTTAGGTCAAAATTGTAGTTCTGTGAAAGTGATAGGATTTATAACCAAAGTAGAGTACCAAAGAACTCATTCTGAATGAAGCATTTTCGCTAATTCAAGACTCTTTATAAATTTTGAGTGAAAAGCAATTTATGTAGTTAAATTTACAAGATACATATACAGTCAAAAGTCATTAATCCGGACTCGTCGGGACTTCGGCGATTCCGGATTATAGATTATCAGTTTAAATCTCAAAAGATGGCATGCAGGAATTCTAAAATTAAAAATATGAAACCTTAATTTATGAAATAAAGAATAATTATAATCTAAAGGGTATCAAAATTTACAAAAAAAAGCTTAATATTTATTTGTTTACTTTATTAAACATTTCTTTCAACGTAAGTTGTTTTAAGTTGCTTCGTTTTATGTGATAATACTTTCTCTTTAATTCTATAAACAGACACAATTTCTTGTTCAGTTACAAAGTTCCGCTGTTCAAGTCCCGTTAATTGTTGTGTCGAGAATACCGACTAACTTGTCAATCGAAATTTTTTCGTTTTCACTAACCTCTCTGTCACATTCTTCATGTCTTTATCCATTTTTTGCAGCAATTTCACTTTTTGTTTGATGGACATCGAAACATACTTTCGTTTTGTATGGTCCTTTGGGAGCTCCAGAATCGGAAATTCTATTTGACATAATCGAAAGTTCAAGTTTACTTTTATAAAATTGCTCTTACAGTCTGCAAAAAATAATAATCAGGATCCAATTCGAAGATTAAGGAACAATGCAATCATCAACATTAACTGAAATAGATAATTAGATAATTTTAGATTATGCCGTCCGTTATACATAAAACGTGCATGCAAAAATGTATTCTGCGCTTGCGCACACGCAAATGCACAGTGGTAAAAGGTCTTACGCGCACGCGTAAACGCCTATGCGCATGTGTCAACGCGGCGCATGCGCAGAAAGTTTTTAGCTTTGAGGTCCGGATTATAGATCATTCTGGATTAAGGGTGTCCGAATTAACAACTTTTGACTGTATATGTATACTTTTGGTGTGGCAAATAGCACACCTAAAAGGGAGTAGCACAACTATATATTAAGTAGTCCTATATACAAAATCTCAACATTCTGAGGCTATGCACTTTTTAGTTATATGAGATAGATACATACGTACGTATAGACATCATGAAAAAAAAAATCTCTTCTGAATCCATTTTAAATCAGTTTTATAATTCGTTTAGGGAAAAAGTGTCCTATTTTCTGTCTTTACAGATATTAGGGAAAAACATCATTAAATTGCATTCGATAGCGGTCGATAGCAATTCGATATCGGTCAAATGGATATTTTTGTTGAAATAGGGTACCCAGTATTTTTTGTAATTACAATACTTCCTTTACTTCATACAAGGAAGTAGAAAAGAACCCCTCAGGTGCCATCTGATATGCTCTTCTGTTATCAGAACTGGATTCACAAATGTAGGTATGCATGCATTTATGTTTATATGTTCACATGTGCGTACATACACACGTGCATATATATACATTTTTTGGTACTATTCGGTGTCGAGGGCCGTAAAAAAATTGCAGCGAAAATGTACGCGCAAAAGCGCCAAATCTAGCAAGCGCGCCTATTTAACAGCGCGCCAAATCTAGCGTACGTGCTGATTTCAGATTGTGTAAATTTATATAGTTCTATATTTCTTAAGACGCCATTGAAATACTAGTTTAATTTTTAAATCCTTTTTTGATATCCTATGGATTAATTTGGGAATTGCGCATGACGAAAACTTGGCAATAGAATTTTCTGTAAAGTGCAGAATCACCCCACTGCTTGACGCGTTTTTAAGAATTGCACATACTCGGTATCCATATGCACATCGACCCATTTTCACTTAAAAAAAATCCTAATTGCACAAAAATGGCCCTACGCACCCCCTTGACTTTATCTATGTACACATCGACCTATTTTCAATTAAAAAGTAAAAGAAAATTGACAAAAATCCAATTGATTTTACCCTTGTAAAAAGCGGCAAACAAATAAGTGAGCGATTCTGCACTTTACCAAGAATATTTTCAAAGAAAAGGCATCATTCATTATAGAAAATTACGTTTGAACAACCAGCGAGATGAAATTATGCTTTAGCGATAAGTCGGTAGCAAAATAGCGATGCAGGCATCCATTCAGTTATGTCTAGCAATTTTTATATAAATTATAATAATGATCTGAAATAGTTATTTACTCTTATGCTTCCATTCAGTCATGTTTAGCCTTTTTCATATAAATCATAAAAAAAAGTATTATATGAAATTAACCTTTCATCTAAATTAAAACATCAATCTTAAATAGTTATTTACTATTATATACTTCCTTTCTTGCCGCAATTATTTTTGGCAGCATTGACATCAACAATAGTTTGGCGATTTTTTTACGGCCCTCGAAACCGAATAGTACACATTTTTTTTAATCCGGTCCCACAGTGCTTTTGACTAGTGCCAGTCATATGACAAAACCTGAAGATAAATTGGGCCGGTGCAAACTTTTATGTCAATCTAATTTTTTTTTTTTTTTTTTTAAAGTTAAAAACATACACAGTTCTTTCTTCGAACTGTCTGTTCCAAGACATTGGTATTAAATGTCAACAAAGTAGATGTGAAAACTCAAAATACATAAATAAAAATAAAATTTAAAAATAATAACTTACACAAATAATGAAGCTACATCATTAAACAGTTGTATTCTCACAAACAACTCAGATCATATCTTGCCAGAGTGATCCAGGCTTAAAAGTAGCTGCTGATTATAAGATTATCGGCTTACTTGCCTTTTAAGATTTTACATTGAAAATTATATTCGAGAATTATATACAATTGGTTTTAATACAATGCAATTTATGGAATATTTCAATAATATACATACTAGGTTAAAAAAAAAGTAATTATTTTTTAACTGCATTACATACAGAATGTTCACAAATAAAAATAAATAATACATGTAAAAAAATAGTTTGCACAAAATAAATGTGATTACAAAATGCAAAAAGGTTTTCTTCCTTTAGCTTATACTTACAGATTTTATAATTTTGCTCACATCATCAACAGAAAATGTAGTCTGAAATATAAATAGTAGTATTACAGTGGTATAGTATTTAAAAGAATTATTAGAACAAAAAAGGCCATACATAATGAAAGCCAATGGAATCCATACAATCTACTAAACTAGTAGTATATTCTAAATAGAAAATTTACAGCCTAATTATTTACCATTCTTTTATTTCTAATTCTTACAGTAAATCATTAAAGGAAGGAGGAGGGCAGAGACAGAAAAAATATAAAAATAAAATTTACATGCATCATGACTCAGTAATACACATACACAATTGAAATTAATACATTGCATTATTATTTAATACTAATAGATTAAAAGAATATAGGTAAAAATATATTTAAGGATGCCCTTTGGCGAAAATTGGTAATTTTTGGCAATTGGCAAGCAAGGCACAATTTAAAGATGGCCACTACACAAAACCAAAATAAAAAGTCGACGAATTGCACAAAATTGGTGTCCATGTACACATTGATCTGTTTTCACTTAAAAAAAAAATCAGAGAATTGCACAAACTGGGCATTGCGCATCGACTTGACTTTGTCCATGTACACATCGATCTATTTTCACTTAAAAATCGAAGGAGCACCCAATTTTACACTAGACCCAAACAAAAAATATATAATCTCAATAAACTACATTTTTAATCAAACAATGAAATAACATAAAAAAGGAAATACATCTTATCGTATCTACACACCACACAAAGGAAATATCCATTTACCTTATTTAGAAATTTCTGTGTCTTCAGTCTGTGCACACAAAATTCCTTAACAGCATCCAAAACGTTTCCTCAAACCATGTTCCCTTTCTAATGGAACACTTTAAATGGCCAGCAGTTGAATGTTTCTTGTGACAAACCCACTCAAAGCCATCTGAACAATCTTTACGTTCAACCATACGCATTTCTTTCGTGCAAACAGGACACTTATAATTCCATTGAATTACACCCAACAAAGTTTCTTTTCTTCTGTCCTCAACTACTTCAAAAAAAAACTTTCCACTCCCTCGTTCTATACCACCAAACACCCAGTTTAGTACTGGCAGCCATTTTAAGAAGCAAAGCACACAATACGCAATGTGCATCCTAACTGGCAATCAACACAGTAATAAGGCCTTGCAAATATTTTCCCATAAGTCAAATTCACTGCAATCACGTCATAATAGGGTTTCCATAACATTTAACTACTCAGGTTATCATAAATGAAAAAACTTGGCGATAATCCAAGTGGCACCCTAAAATATAGGCTAACCAAGAATATATATGTATTATTAAAAATTATCCAGCTACTTCAATTTCAAATTAATTTCACAAGTAGAGAGAGAAGGAAATAGTGGGAAAAACACTTTTTTTTTTTTTTTTTTTCAAATCTGCTGATTAAATTTCTGTAAATTAACCAAGTCCTCAAGTTCTATGCATTTTTCAAAGCTTTTTATCATTTATAAAGTTTTAATGATTTTTCTTCTCATTGCATTGTTTACAAATATACTTTGGCATTCAAGTCTCCACAGTAGTTCAGGCAATACAAATACCTTTGTACTATGTTTCGCCACTTAAGATTTACACAAAGTATAAGGCTATTTAATTAATAAATTATATTGGTAAAATAAATCCGAAGATTTTTCTTATAAAGCTTAAAAACATATAAAAAAAGCAGCAAACTACACCTGGTAGTGCCTTTATTTGGAGGTGATAGTATTAAATTACAGTCAGCCCCTTCTCTTATCGGATAAGAAGTTAGGAGAAAGAATCGAATATACTCAGAGATAACAAAAGAGTGAACCAGTAAACTGGCAAAAGCCCTCGACCATTTTGAAAGAAAGAGCATAAGATTGCCTCAGATGAGACTGAAAATCGACACTGTTCTAGCTGGCCTCACAGATAGAATGAAAAACATTCAGTATAATTTTAGGAACTGATATTAACGAAAAATTGACCTACTCATAGTCGATGATAAAGAAACAAATACTGCTTAGGAATGTAACAAAAGTAGCTTTGAATACTTATTAATTTACAGATTACAAATCCTTTATATGCCAATAGGCATATTCTCCCAGTAATGCATAATATCCATATATCTTCACACAGTAAAGTTTTTTATATGCCTTTCAAGAAGCTGCTAAAGAAAAGAAGACTTATAAATGAAAAAGAATTATACCTGAAATATCAGTCTAAAAAGGTGTTATACATATTTAAACTGTAGAATTTTAATCAGGGCTGTGCCGTCAAAAAGATTTTGGGGTAAAAGGAGTCGGACAACTCCTAACTTAATGAAAAGTGGGTAAAAGTATATTTATGGGTACCCCTTGGCGAAAATTGGCAGTTTTTAGCATTACATGGATACCTAGTTGTGAGATTCTGACTCGTTATTTTGGCTTTGTGTAGGGGGGATTTTTGGCGCTAAAATCACCGCTACACAATGACAAAATAACAAGAATTGCACAAACTCGATATCCATGTACACATTGACCTATTTTCACTTTAAAAAAATCATCACAGAATTGCACAAATTAGGCATTGCAAACTCCCTTGACTTTATCGGTTAATATTCCATAGTCGGGCTGAGCGCCAAACTTGACAAGAGTTTTTTTATTTGATGCGATTTTGATTTGGTTGAGGTTTCCAGCTGTATGTTTTCTTGTGGGAAACCTAGAGCTTTATTTCGGTAATTGCTTGCAAATTTAGTGTAGCCAGAATATTTTTTTTTAAAATTTAATATTGAAATACTGTGTTTGTTTTTAAAAGTTTTACTGTTTAATACTAGGAATTTAACACACATTCTCTATTCGTAAAAAGCAAATTTAAAGTTAATAAATTTAAATGAAATTTAATGCAAACAAATAAATTATTATTGTTGCGAACTAACGTACAATACCATTTAAATTCTGAGAGCATATGTAAATCAAGGTGCAAGTATTAATATCCATGAATAAATATAAATTCCAAAAATTATTTAATCCTAAAAAATTATTATAATAATGCATAAGTGAATGATTATTATTATATATTTATATAAATATTTGAAGAAGGTTAAGCTGTTATTGGTGAGAGAATGTTGGATTTCAGATGACATGAAGTTATGAATGTTTTCATTTAATTTTATTTAGTTAATTATTATAAATTTTTTTTTGTTTTGTTTCTTGCATGTGGCAATCGAAAGACATGGAATATTTAAATTTTAAATGAAAGTTTTTTATCATTTAATCAATTTCGTTTACTATTCAGTTTGCACATAATAATCGCTGTTCATCACTGTACACAAAAATTTGCTATTCTGTTTACATTTAAAACTCACTTCGCAGTGGTCGAATCTGATAAATGTATATATTTATTTATTCAATAATTATTTACAAGAATTGTTTATTTTACTATTTTATGATGAATTACATAGATAGAACTATGTTTTTACTTGCAAAGCTGTTGGATCTTGTATTACTCATCTAGTATTTTATCATCTCATTTTACTACTGTTTGCGTAAAATAGCAGTGCTTCACTACTGCAAAACTTAAAAGTTGCTATTCTGTTTATGTTTAAAAATTACATCTTAATGCTTTCATTACCGCCAAAAAAAAAAAAAAAAAAAAATTCACCATAGTTTGAAGGCCAAGATAGTTTGGTGCCAACTTAACCCACTTACGGAATATTAACCACGTTATCCATGTACACGTCTACCTATTTTCACTTAAAAAAAAATCAGAGAATTGCACAAACTTGGCATTGCGAACCTGGCATGTACACATCGATATATTTTCACTTAAAAAATGAAAGGTGCACCCAATTCTAGGTAAAAGTATATTTACAGAACATTCAACTACTCAGGTTACCATAAATGAAACAACACATTTCCAATAATACAAGGAGTATCCTTCAGTTTGTTTCTGATGAGATGTTTGTTTAAATATTACTGAGCCTTTTTCCCTCCACTTTTTTTAAAACTTTTTGGTAAAAGTTTACAATTGGGTGTCCCTTGTTTTTTGGCAATTCTTTTTTGATGCCAAGAAGGCACAATTTCAAGATGACCGCTACACAAAACCAAAATAAGAAGTCAAAGAATTGCACAAAATCTGTGTCCATGTATACATCGATCTGTTTTCACTTAAAAAAAATCCTAGAATTGCACAAACTAGACATTGCACACTGCCTTAAATTAGTCCATGTACACATCAATCTATTTTCATTTAAATAAAATCAGGAAGTTAAAACAAAGAGGGAAAATGCAGAATCGCCCACTGCTTGGTGCGTTTTTAAGAACTGCACATACTCGGTATCCATGTACACATCGACCTATTTTCACTTAAAAAAACATCTCAGAATTGCACAAAAATGGCATTGTGCACTCCCTTGACTTTATCCATGTACACATCGACCTAGTTTCATTTTAAAAGTCAAAGAAAATTGACAAAAATCCAATTCTTCTTACTCTTGTAAAAAGCGCCAAACAAACGCCAATCAAATAAGTGGGTGATTCTGAACTTTAGCCAAACAAAGTTAAAACTATCATGGTAACCAGAAGTGAGGTTCAAAATTTAATTTAAAAAATGTCGCTAATCGAAAGGGCACCCAATTCTACACTAGAGCTAACTTTTTAAAGTTGCTTGGAATAATCTGCTCTATCTACTGAATACTCACATAAGCAGTTTTAACGTTAATATTTAGCAAACACTTTTCAGTTTTCGATTGCTGACGTACATTTGACTCTATCTATAAACACCACTGTATCATGATAAAAGTAATAAAATTATGCATTATCAGTTTTCAGGATTTATTTTTCATGTTAAATTTTGCAAAATTTGTCCTAGAAAATACTTTTAAAATAAATAGCAGCTATCAATATTAGCGAAACACATGTACAGTATCTATAGCTTTAAAATTTCATATGCAGTCTCACCTCTTCAGATGTTAATGAATTCAGATTTTCATCCATACTGAAGCAACAGTATACTTTATATTAAATTTCGAACGCTAAGAATGATAAAAATATTTTTTTGGTAATTTAAATTTGCTTACGAACTACAATCAACACCTTCACCATAGCAACCAATGCCAAATTATTGGACTAGTAGGTAGGTAATTTCAAAGCAAAGAAACATAGAAGTAAAATCCCAAGAAAAAATGAATATCGCTAATATATGTATATCTTTGTATATTTAAGGTTAAAAAATTTATTTCTTAACTCCAAAACTTATCTAGCGATTGCAGCGAAATGAGCGCCTCCTAGTGACAGAGAGATAAATAAAAATAGCACTGATGACTGTCAGTTGTAGTCAACCACCAGATTTATTAAAGCTGGTGTCCCACAGGAGTCGGTACTTTCGCCGTATTTGTTTAATATTTATACGCGAGACATCCCTAAAAACCCTTCTGTTCATCTTGCACTTTTTGCCGATGACACCGCCATACTTACAGCAATCGCCTGCACAGCAATCGCCATTAGAAACCAACTCCAAAACTATCTCATAAAACTGGAAAAATGGCTCACCCTTTGCAGGATTAAAATTAACACTGATAAAAACAAGGCAATAATTTTCCGTAAGGGAAACATTAGCTACTATCCTCCACCCCTTTAAATATTTAACGAAGAAAGAGACTGGATTAATGAAACCAAATACCTTGGAGTCACCCTAGATCAAAAACTTACCTCCAGAACCCACTTCCGCTCAGTAGCACAAAAATTTTAAATCACCTCAGCTACTATGCGATCTCTTCTTGGTAGAATAAGCAACTTATCTACTACAAATCAAATTGAATTTTATATCACTCTATACTTCGTCCAGCCCTCTTTTATGCAGCTCCGATCTGGCATAAAAGAGGCATAATGCAGCTAAAGCCAATATTAAACAATTTCAAGTTCTACAAAATAAAATTTTATGAGAAATTATAAATGCTCCTTGGTATATTCCAAACACCTAACTTCACAGAGACCTTCAGATTGAAGAAGTTCGCTATTCAAGAGTATATTAAACGATTAGTGGTCAACTTCTTTCATTCAGTACAAACCCACAGTAATAGCCTTATTAGCACCCTCAGACACTCCCCGCATTCCGGTGAAAAACATCGGTACCCATGTGATATCCTACCCATATAAGAAATACAACCTTAATTGACTCATTCCACAATAAACTGACTCTGCGGTCTTTCACCCTCTGCTACATCTTGTAACGACACTGACCTCACCCAAGGCCAACTAGATATTTAGTTGGCCTTGATCTGACTCTCTTTTCTCCCCCTCCCACACCTCCTACTTCACTACTCTTCTTTCTTTTCTTTCCAGATTGTTATCAGAAGCCGAGTAAAAAGATGTTTCTACATCTTGACACTCGAGAATAAAATACGATCTGTGTTGTCAGTTGTTTACCTAGCATTGATCCACAAGGTTTGCTCAGAGCAAAAAGAAGCACTGGTTTCTGAAACCCTAATTCAGTATATCTTCTTAAAAATCTTTTGATCCCACAAAATATTGTTTAGATAATAAGTCAGCCTCAAAAATTGATTCTAACTTCTGATACATGCCTTTGCGTCCCTAGGAAACCAACCCTTGAACAGAAGCTGAGCCTTTTGATTACAGTAAAGCTACATTCCATATGTCAAAACTTTATTCTCCAGAAACTTCAGCAAATTTATGAGTTCTTATTTAAGAATAGGCAAATTTTTCGTTCCCTGAATTACTAGAGAAATGATCACCCAATTTATACTGCGTATCCACAGATTCGGTATTGGTAGTTTCAATTACTCGCTATTTAGAATCTGTCGAGAAAGGTGTTCGAACACCGGTACCCATCTTGAAAACACAAAACTCAGGAAATTTAACTTTTATTAATACAAATGTTTTCAGTCACTTTATAAGAAAAAATTAATGTGAAGCTTAAGAGTTCTCTGTGGGTGCTTTATTTTTGCTGAGCGTCATTAAATTTTTCAGAAAAAAAATGCTGTTGGTTTCCAAGATGGGTTTTCGGATTGCTGCAACACTGAGCCAATTGCTGTATCTGAAGCATCTGTAAATAACGCAAGAATTAGTTCAGAATTGGGAAAAGTCAACAGTGCAGTGTTCACCAGGTCATTCTTGCACTTTTCAAATTGTTTTTCAGCTCCTTCTGTCCATTCAATTTTACGTTTGTTCCACGTTTTAGCTCCCTTAAGATATTCATGCAACAATGCTTGATTCTTCACTGCAACGTTTAGGTAACGATGATCAAAATTTAGTATTCTAAGTTCTTGATTTGTTTCTGGTTGTTTGTAGCTGGCAATAGCTTGAACTGGAAAGGACGAGAACTCTGAATCGAGTTTTTAGGTATCATAAAAACTCGATTTGTTGAACAGTGAACACAGATTTTGAAACATTTATTCTTAACCAAAGGTATTTAATGTTTCGAAAATTAACCCCCATAACACAAGACATCCTCAGGATATCCTATTTAAGTCGCAATGTCCCGGGAAGCAGTTAGGATATCCTGAGGATGTTGATTCTCAGATATCCTGAGGACTTCTTAAGTTAACATCCTGAGGATATCCTTTTCAAGTCTCAATGTCCTGGGATATATGAAGATCTCCTCAGGATGTTGATTTTCAGATATCCTGAGGACTTCGTAAATCAACATCTTAAGGATGTCCTGTTCAAGTCGTAATGTCCCGGGATATATGAAGATCTCCTGAGGATGTTGTTTCTCAGATATCTTTACTTACTTTTTATGGAAGCTCATATCTGAAAATAATAAAGTAACCTTGTACCACACGCAAGTCATGTTATAAGAATCGAAATTTTACTCTATGGATTACCTCTTTTGCATATGAAAATTTAATTGTTATGCTTACATTGGTTTTTGTCTTGTATATGTTGGCTGTAAGTATTAAATAATAATATTTCAAATTTTTGTTGTTATTTCACAGTGCCTATTGATCAAAGTACTTTCTTGCAAATTATAGGCACGTGTTTTCATTCGTTTTGAGTTTCATATTGAAAGTGTGTTTACGATTAAATTCTAATTGCTACATAATATATTTTGTAAACATTATTTTAGATACTTTTCTAATATCTTTGAACACAAAAATTATTTATGTTACAGATTAACTCAGAAAATCTTTCACGAAGACATTTATCCTATGAACAGATGGGCATGATGTGCATCCATGCCTTATATGGCATTCGAACTTGAGCCCTTCTGTACGGCAATCAGTCACTATAATCACTTACCCGTCTCTGAGGCACTAATCAGAAATATCAAGTTATAAAAGTATTCTATTAAATTCATCGATAGTTCTTAGCATAGAAATAACTATACTTTGAAACTGCAAAAGAAAAAAAATACTTTTTGATCTGTTACACTATTATATTAATAATGAATGATGTTTAGTGCTGTGCAGTAATAAGTAACAATATTTTTTTTTAACAAACGAAATTTTAGTTTACAGACGCAGTTAAAAACTAGTCTGTACGAGGTTTAACTTGTTTTAATTTGAATTTATAAACAGAAGAATAATTTTATTGGGCTAAAAAATTCATTGCAGTTTCTTCGTTCATTTTCTGGTAAGTTCTTTAATAATGAGAATTAGTCTTTCAAAGCGACTGAGGTAAGAAGTAACTTATTTTTTACCTCTCTGTAATAGGAAAATAAGGTTTAAGAATGGGAAGAACTAACATTAAGTTCTTACTCTCTCCTCAAACCTCACTTTGCTACCTCTTTAACCATACAAATATTCGGTCTTTGCTAAACAAAGCGCGAAAAAAATATATCCAGCGCTCTGCAGTCTTATACGTTATGCCGACAATGCTACATGACTCCTCATAATTTAACAATAATTGCTGCTTTATTAATTTATTTGTAACATCCAGAAAATGCAGTAAACACGTTTCTTCAAGGTATATAACACAAAGTTAAATGTTGTTATGAAAACTCAAAATTAGATAACGGATTAAATAGATGTTCAAACTTTAAATTAAAATGATTTAATTTTTAAATTAAACGCGTTCTTTAAACTCAGCAGTTTTATTACTTTATTTTATACTATAAATAACAATTGAAGTTGAAAATCATTATCATTTTTCGTAAAACTGCTTCTCAAATTTTCTTTGCTTTTGAGAAACCGAGCTCCGCTCAGAATGTAACATTTCTGAGCGCTTTTTCTGTAGCCGATGCCCCAAGAAGATTTCTCTTTTGTTAACGTGGCAGATTTAAGCGTCAGACCTTCCCTTCTTTTTGTGTCCCCCTACAAGGGAAACATCCCTTCACAACAAAGGACGCAGAATGCCCCCAACGGTTTTAATTGCTCCGTAATAGTGATATCCTTGAAGAACCCCACAAAGTGGAAAGTACACGTACTTACTTTCTGGTTTCCAGAATTCAGCTATTCTGCTAAACGTTAATAGCCGTCGTTCCAAATTCTGTTTCAGTTACGAACTGACTTGCTGACGCTTGCAAGCGTTACATTGACAGAGTGTGAAAAGTAAGTTTCAAAAATTTCCCTTTATTCTACAAAACTGATCAGAACTAAAAAAAAATATCTCAGATATCTAAAAGACGGATTTACAGCAGAATAAATCAACGTATATTATCGGATTCGTCAGAAGATGAAGTAGCATTTAATTATGAAAAAAGCCTGTGTCGAATTTTCGCGCTAGCAAATATTCTTTAAGTTCCATTTCAAACTGTGATTCGGAATATGAACTTTTATGTCTCAAGAAGAACTGACTGATGACGATTACCAAAACGATTATCCCATTTTAAGGAATATTCCAAATATAGGACTAATAAATATTCCGTTAGACTTTATGTCCCTTGTGTGCTTAGGAGTAGTACAAAAAATGATTACTATTAGGATAGGCGGAGGCACCTTACAAGCACGATTACCACATAAAAATGTTGAACTAATTTTTTTTTTTTTTTTTTTTTTTAAATGACCAGTTTTTAAAGCCTTATGTACCAATTGAATTTGCAAGAAAACCAAGGAACCAACTCTAAAAGAATTGAAACACTGGAAAGCTACAAAATACCGTCAATTTTTACTGTACACTAGCCCACTTATTTTTTTTTTAATTTAACAAAAAGCTACATGATCATTTTTTACTAC